TCAATTTGCACTATTTCTGGCAAGAGAGAGCTGCTGCTGGAGTCACTCCTCTGTGTTTAGATGAGTAACGGAGCAGCTGCGGAAGGAGGGAAGGAAGGAAGAAAAGGAGGAGGAGAAGGAGGAGGAGGAGGAGGAGGAGGGCGGCGGGTTTGTCAAGCGCCCAGCAAGCCCTCCAAAGCCTTCATTTTGGGGAAGGAGGCTCAGGAGAGGCGCGCCTCCTTTTGCCAGGGATGATGATGCCCTTGGACTTGGAGGGAAGAGCAGCAAGCAAGGTCCCAGGTTGTGGCCGCATTCATGCGGACTAGAGCCACCCTCCTCCATCATCAGGCCGATGTGTCTCCACTGGAATGGGTAATCATGCCTTCCCAGTCTCTTTCTCCCTTTTTTGGGGTGCAAAAATGGGAGGAAGGGGGGCTGGACGAGGGGCTTGGTTTTTGGTGGCATCCTCCTTTTTGGTGTTTTGCGCGCGCTTGTGCGCCTCAGACAGACGACCCTGGACTGGGCTTACTTTTCTTTTATTTTCTCCTCCCCTCTCTCTCATTTCTTTCATGGGGGGAAAAAAAAACAACCCTTTCTTTTTTTTCATGGAGAGAGGGATTTAAAGGTCCGGAGACGGAGGACTTCGGTGCCTTTTTATTATTATCATTATTATTTTGAGAGCTTGAAGGCTTTGGTTTTGTGGTCTTTCTCTTCCTTTCTCCATCAAACGCCTCAGAGAGCGAATGGAAACATCAACTTATCCTGAAACAACCACTTGTCTGACAAAGATTAGAAACCATTAGACGCCACTCGAGAGGGTTGGGGGGCTTACAGAGCTCTGGCCATTATTATTATTATTATTATTATTATTATTATTATTATTATTATTATTATTATTATTATTATTCGTCCCTCGAAGTCATGGAAACAGTGGCTCCTTTAAAGCGCGATAAGGTTTTGCGGCACATTATCCGCCGCTGTAATAATAATAATCCCAAGTTAATGATTGTTTTATGGCTCTTCGATGTCGCTGGAAGCCTTGTTGGCTCAGCTCAGAGAGAGGTCACTTTTCTCTCATCCCAAAGAAAAACAACCTCTTGGGTCTTTGCCCTCCTAGGATATTTTGTTTTTCCCCTCACAGTTGATCTAGGAAAAACAAAACAAAACAGCCAAGTTTGTGCTTTCCTTGTTTAACCTACATACACCATTTTGCAAACAAACAAACAAAAAGAGACTGGCTCAGTTTTACTGTGGCGATCCAGAGCTTTCTGTTGCCTTGCCTTCAGAAGCAGCAGTTTGGTAAAATGTGGGTTTTCTTTAGATTTGTCTTGCCTTACGTCTTGAACTGCGCTGTCCAGAAGTACCAATCTGTTATTTCCCTCCATGTGCGATATCAAGGAACTTCGAACATCTTTGACGCAAATAAATGTTGCCGCCTTCAATACTTTATAGTGGAGGGAAGTTGCCAAAAGAAGGAATTCAGTCTTATGTTTACACTGTACAGAACGGTCTCTGTATGTTTGTATGTGTGTAATGTTCAGCAAGCTGCTATTTTTACTATTTGTTTAGCAAGTGACAAAAAAAATGCTTTCTCAGTATTCTCTTGGATCCTTGTTAGATGGAAATAGTAATAGATTAGTTTTGAGTGCTGGGTGGGAATATAACATCGAAATATGTGACCTAGAAACGGCACAGCTATTGGGGATAACTTCTTTATTTATTTCAAGGAAGATGTACACTCTCTTCATAGGCTTGTTTTTAAAAGACTGCTCAGCCACTGAGGTTTTTTACTCACCCCCCCTTTGGTAAGAGATTGTGCTGAAATTGTTGCCTGTTTGTTTTCAGCGCCAAATCTTAAAGGCAGACCACGTAAAAAGAAGCCATGTCCACAGAGAAGAGATTCACTCAACGGCATTAAAGATTCCAATAACAATTGTGAAGGCAAAGCTGTTGTCAAGGTAAGCCACTTAGTAATTTTGATCAGATTTCATTTCTGATACAGTTTTGCCTTTGTTTTCCAGCACAGCATTTCAAAGTAGGAATATTCTTTAAGGAAATGAATAGAGATGGCAGTTAGTTGTTGTTTTGGATGACTCTTCATCTCTCATTCTCATCCTTCCCTTTCTATATATTTTAAAATGTTTTCATGCAAGATATTACTAACACAGTCAGTTGTTTATTATAAGCTAGTTGGCAAAACAATATTGATTGAAAATTTAATGTGAGAACTGTATATTTTGAACATCTACTTTCATCCAATATTTATTTATGCCCATACCCCCCCCTCTTTTTCTCCAAGGAGTTCAAGCTTATCCATTTTATGCTCACAAAAGTCCTGTGAGGCAAATCAGGGTGAGAGATAGCAACTTGACAACAGCTACCCATTGAACCTCACAGCTGGATTTGAATATGTGCCTTCCCAGTTCTAGTAGTCTGATATGTTGTTGTTGTGTGCCTTCAAGTAATTTCTGACTTATGGTGACCCTAAAGTGAACTTATCATGGTGTATTCTTGGCAAGATTTGTTCAGAGGTTTGCCTGAGACTGAGAGAGTGTGACTTGCCCAGGTCATCTAGTGGATTTCCATGGAATTCGAACCCCAGTCTCCAAAGTCATAATCCAACACTCAAACCACTATGCTACACTGGCCTTCTAGTCTGATATACACAGTATACCATGTAGAAAAACAAAGTGGTTAAAGCTCATCGCACTTGCCTTCTAGATACAATCTGAAAATAACCATGTATGAAATGCAATCTATCTTTTGAGAAGTGAATTATAACATAGGATGCTATTTTGAACAGTACTGAGTTACAGGGATCCAAGAAGGAAGTTCAGAGTAACAGATCATGTTTTGGACCAGATCTTTGGAGCACATTCCCTTGTATTCAGACAATCCATGGCTTTCAGATTACTAAGGGCTGGTTCATGAGCACATGATCCTCACGTGGTGAACCATCAAATAATGACTTGTATGCACAGATGAGCCATCATAAATTCTACAGATGTAATTTTCATATCACTTCCTATCACCTCAAACAAATGCTTTTCAGCAGAGTCATAGCATATGACACAGCATACTTTGTATATGCTGCTAGCATACTTTGTGCACCACATACTTTGTTGTTACTGCTAGCAATGGTGCCTAGAGCATAACTAGTTTCCCCACCTTGACCTGTAACATGTTGCTCAAGGCATTATGTCATTTTAGTGCTGTGTTACTATCAATACTTGGAAAGGGTAATTTTTTTTTTACTATAATTCCCAAAATCCATCAGTTAGTGACCGTTCTGCTTGGAGAGAGGATTTTGAGAACTGTAGTCAAGAAATGTTTCCAAACTTTGGTCACCATCTGCTTCCTGTCAGAAGGCATCCACCTCATTCTCCATGAAAATTCTCACAAGAGATATCAGTGTAATTGCTCCCGTCCATAATTCACTCAGTTCGGGAGCTTTTCCAGGGAGACCCACCCCACTCCAGAAAGAGCCAGTAAGAAGGGCAGCCAGATATCTTGAAGCAGCAGTGTCCAGGGCCCTGCACCACACTATCTTGTCTTGAGGAGGACCAATAAGACCAGCTCCTTGGATGCCATTGCTGGGAGACAATCAAGAGTCCTCTCAACAACAGTGCCCAACTCCCAACCTTCCTCTGCCTCTCTCTCCCACTCTCTCTTTCTTTCTCTCTCTCTTTGGATCATATAGAAACATTCTTTGACAAAGGGAGCAGGTGTGTGTCTCCACCTGCCACCCTTTCACCTGTTATCTTACTAAGTATTGTAGGTTTGTTTATTTGTTAAAGGTATATGGAATATAATTGAGAGCATATAATACAATTCATTCACACATAACATTAATTGATGGGATAATTAATAATTATATAAGATCCTTGACTGGGAGTCAATGTGGCATACTGGTTTGGGTGTCAGATTAGGACTCTGGAGATCAGGGTTCAAATTCCTGCTTGGCCACGGAAGCCCACTGGATGACCTAAGGGGCAGGTCACACTCTCTCAGCCACCATGGAAGGCAAGGGTGAATGTCATCTGAAGAAATTGTGCCAAGAAAACCCCATGATAGGTTCACCTTAAGGTTGCCATAAATTGGAAATAATTTGAAGGCACACAACAACAACAACAACAACAACAACAACAACAGACCATTGATTGGTAGGTTTTTCTGTGTCCTTAAAAGGGGGGGGGAAATCCAACCCTTCCTTGGCCTTGCTTTGTAGGCTGTATCTGCACTGCAGAAATAATGCAGTTTGACACCACTTTAACTGCCATAGCTCAATACTATGGAATGCAAGGATTTGTAGTTTTGTGAGGCTTTTTGTGAGACATTGAGATTTAGCCTTCTCTGTCAGAGAGCTCATATGCCACAACAAATTACAAATCCCAGTATCCCATAGCATTGAGCCATGGAAATTAAAGTGGCGTCAAACTGCATTATTTCCGCAGTGCGGTTGCAGTCTTAATTACATGTGGTGTAGGATTGCTAGCTTTGTTTCTGGCTCAATACTCTTTGTGGGCGCATACACTCACAAAACATAAAAAACAACAAACAAAAGCTCAGGAAGGAAGTAGCTGGAAGACCACTTCTGTTTTGGTAAAACTGAGGTTTGTTTCTCAATGTCAAACAAGACGGGGCTTATCCTATTTTAAAAGGTGAATTGCTACTTCAGAAGGAATCTAAGAAAGGTGTTCATGTTTGGGTCATCTGGAGGAGTTGTGGACTCCCAAAGTAAGGCCCCAGGGTTGCACTTTGCCAACTGTTAAATCATGCATGTTAGATAACAAGAGAAATGCAAACTGATTAGAAAAATCAAGAAACTCACTAAGAAAAATTCTATAGTGTAGAACATTTCCCTTGTTGTGAATATCTCTTTAGGGATATTCATCCAATACAATTTTTGATAATTGTTGATCATTTTGTCTAGAATTAGTCTCCCTTCTGCTACCTTTCATGGTGCTTTAGGATTTGGGGTGGGGGGAGCGGGTGCAGAGAAGGGCATTTGATATTTACACTGGATGTCTTAAGGTGGTTTGAGATTTAAGGAGGTCAGGTGGCATGGTTATACACTATGCTGTGTTCATTGTGATTAAATTATTAACATTGTCTCCTTGATGTTCCACTGATGCTCATGTTACTGACAGAAAATGTTGGCAGGAGCCAAACTCTAAAGTTAAAAAAATGAAGATTGTCATTAATGTTACATTGCTTAGTTTTATGTGGCCTGTTGTATGCCCAATAGCTAGTTGCCTGTAATAAGATCTACTGGTGTCATGTTATAAAGAGATGCTGGTTAAAAACCTGATTTTTGATGTTTGAAGGCTTTGTGAACTATGTAAAATGTTATAGGACTTTCTCAGATTTCCATTGCTATGGAGTGCATAAAAGTTCAAAGAGCCTCCCTGTGCAGATGCCCTACTTCTGTTGAACATTTTTAAACTGTTCAAAGGACAGGTTACCATCTGTCTTCCACTGCTTTTTGCTGATGCACTGGGCAAGAAAAAAATGCACCATTCTGTAAGCATAATTTCTTCTGCATATAAAATGAAATGCAGGAGGGCCATTAAAACAGCCATAAAGCTAACTTTTTTTCCCAGTGGCATGAGAGGTATGTTTGGACTTTACTTTGGCCATTCACCCTTGTTACTAGTATGACTAACATCAGGATATCAGGCCACACACTGCAGGCCCACTCCTCAGTAGTGACTCTCTGACAAGGCCCCCTTATGATGCTCCTCTTCTTCATTTTCATCTTCTTCACCCATCTCTTGCTCTGGATAATGATGATGGCAAGAAGGAGGTTATTGATTGATTAATATTACTTGCATTTAGATATATCCTGACTTTTCCCCATAGATGGCTATGTGGGACTCCTCCTCTCCTCATTTTAACCTCATACCATGTGAGGTAGTTTAGGCTGAAAGTGAGTGGTACTGGCCCAATGTCACCCACTGAGTTTAATGCAGAATCCTGGATCTGCATTGCCAGTCCTGCACACTAACCAGGCTCTGAGTATCCAGGTTACACTACTTACTTCTTTGGTGTCTTTCTGCCTGTTAAGCAAGTATGTGTCAGTAATGATAAGAGAGAGGATGAGCAAGTGGTAGTGAAAATGAGGAAGGGAAGCAGAAAGCCTAATGAGGATCCCTTGCCTAAGAGCCCTCAGAAACCTGAAGCCAGCACTGCTTGATTCCTTTCATCTTCCTGCCATTGTTGTTGTTGTGCACCTTCAAGTTGTTTCTGATTTATGGCAACCCTAAGACAGGCCTATCATGAGGGTTTCTTGGCAAATTTTGTTCTGAGGAGGTTTGCCATAACCATCCCCTGAGGATATGACTTGCCAAAGGTTACACAATGGGTTTCATGGCCATATTGGGAATCGAACCCTAGTCTCCAGAGTCATGGTCCTACATCCAAACCACTATGCCGCACTGGTTTTCCTACCCTATGCATTATATTAACAAATATCTGCTTCCACCTTTCAACTGAATCTATCAATTAAACACCACCACTGGATGTGAAGGTGGCCATATCCTGGAAGAGGACCTTATTGACAGGGCTCAGAAAAGTTACATTTTTAAGAACACCCTGAATTCTAGTCCAAAAGTAATTTTCTAAACTCTACTTTTTGGCAGAAAGACCACAGTTGTAGAATACCTATCTAAATGGTGTCATTCATTAGTCTTGCTACAGTATGATGACTTCCATTGATGATGCCCTTGAATGAATGATGAAGCTATATGCAGTCCTGACCCAATCATGTCATAATCAACTGCATTGCATTTGGTTCATGCACTGTTGTAGGGGCAGATGCTTCAACATCCCATGGAAAGAGCAGCATGAGCCTCCCTTCCACCATGCAGAAAGGCTCTGATGTAAAGTAGACTGTTCCAGAGCCTGGAAATATCTTCTTAAGAAAAAGAACTTGTTGACCCCAATTTCAGTGACAATTCATGATTTGGTGTTTTGATTGCTAAATACTCTGGCTGCTGCCACATTGCAGAATTAATGCAATTTGACACCACCTTTAACAGTCATAGCTCCATCCTATGGAACCCTGGAATTTGTAACGTATTCTGGCACCAGAGCGCTTTGATGGAAGATGCTAAATATCTCACAAAACTACAAATCCCATAATTCCATAGCATTGAGCCATGGCAGATAAAGTGGTGTCAAACTGCATTAATTCTGCAGTGTCAATGCAGCCTATGTTATTTGTTCTCATGGCAATATGTTTTAAAATAATTTCAAATGATCATTCTAAGTTAAATGGTTTAATAAATGAATTACCAGTTTAAATTTCTTAGTGTTCTAACCTGGTGGCGCAGTGTTTAAATGCCTGTATTGCAGCCACTCACTGATAAACCACAAGGTTGCGAGTTCAGTACTAGCCAGGGCTCAGGCTAGACTCAGGCCTGCATCCTTCCGAGGTTGCTAAAATGAGTACCCAGCTGTTGGGGGGCAATAAGCTTACAGTTGTAAACTGCTTAGACACTGCGTAGCACGGTATGAAACAGTATATAAATGAAGCTGCTTTGCTTTGCTTTGCTTTAACAAGTTAAATTTATTTAGCATGTTCACATATAAATAGTTCAACATTTAACATTGGTATAATGAATATTTGCAAGCTCTGAATCTTCCACAAGAGTGCAGTTTTGCATCCTCAAAAAAAGAGAGAGATGGGGAACAGAAATTCATATAAATTGGGTCTGATTTCCACACCATTGCCTGTTTGAGGCTATTGCTAGGCTACTGTTTGAAGCAGCCATTTAAATTCTGTTTCTGGCTGGCAGTGTTTGTCAGCACCTGGCTAGTTCACCTTTGAATATAAGCTTTTGGTTGACAGTGCCTGATAAGCCACCAGTTTGAACTCCTGTTACTGGAATCCAGTGTATGAAACAAGGGACAAGCCACCACAGAAGACTTTTAAAGGATCCTTAGCACTTAATTCTCAACTTTGGCTGAATTCTGCCTATCCATCCCACATGCTCAAATGATAAATGCTGTATTTTAAGCCACCATTGAGCAAAAAGCTTTTAAAGCTATTATGACTCCAGTTTCATTCAGTTTGTTTACCTTTATCTGTGAGCAAATAATTGTGTGGACTTTATTACTTAGCATACAAAGGCATTTGGTTTGGTTTCAATAGGGTCTGAATAAATTCCAGCTGGGGCAGCCTTTTAAAGAACTGACAACAGTGCTGTATTTTATTATCCTAAGGCTCAAGTGTAGTGCTTGTGGAACCCGGGAACTCATAAGATGAATTTGTTACTCTTACCAAGGCACATTTCTCTTTCCAGGATGTTCTTGGGTTATGCCTTCATAAATACAATAGAGAAAATATCATGTTAAAGGGAAATCATGTTTGTATTTTTATATCAGGGGAAAGAACTAGGGAACTTGTTCATCATGAAGATCCATGTACAGAATTTATTTATTTTAGCTTTAAAAACTCAATTTTCTAAGTCATCAGAATCTTCAAGGTCGTTTGCAGCAACAGAAGAAAATAACTGGAAATTACTGACAGATGACTATTTAAAATTCAAGAACATGTTGCCTGTGTTCTACCATTGTTTTGCTCAGATTCTTATAAGGGTGCAGCCAAACACAAAGATGTTAAATTATGAATTCTACAGAAGGATCACAAAGGTTAAAGCCAAAGTTCTGGAAGCCTTTTAAGGAACTATCTTGTACTGCGTCTTAGGGGAAACTTGTATTGCTCTATGGCTCATCTAGCAGCATGTCACATTGAGGTTGAGGCGTGAATGTGAAATATAGTATCTCTGCCAGACCCTGAGATACCTGGATGAAAACAGGAAGTGGGGCCAGACAGTTCACTGTGAAGATATTTATTTACAGGTTATCAGGAAGATATCTATTTGCAGATACAGGAACATAGCAAAGTTCCAGGATGGAAGTAATACACTCTCTTCCTCCTCCTGAGCCCAACAACTACAGAG